TTTATGCACTCGAGGGACGTGTGTTGCACTCCACGAATAGTTTATCCATACATTAGCCCACAATTTGAGCCCACTAGGACCAGTGACAAACCCTTCTGGAAACAGCAGCATGTCCACTTCCATCTGTCACCACTAACCTTACCACCTGGCTGTGCTCAGCACAGCTTCCCTAGAAGTCTCTAAGTTGCTTCTCCAGATCCTCTCCTTGAGCAGGACAAGGTGCTCAGTTCTGCCAAAGCTTTCAGTAATGTTGAGATACTCAGAGGCTCCAGGACTCAGTGAGAAATGGACCTTCCTAGACTAATGTCTGAGCAAAGTCTGAGTAAAGAAATTCTTCCCTGTGGGGGTGCTGAGGCACTGGCACAGTTTGCCCAGAGAAGCTGTGGATATTCCATCCCTGAAAGTGTTCCAGGCCAGGCTGGATGGGGCTTGGAGCACCCTGGTCTGGTGGAAGGTGTTCCCTGCCCATGACAGGGGGTTTGGAATAGGTTGATCTTTCAGATCCCTTCCAACCCAAACCATTCTCTATTATTCCTAGAAGCATTTTAAACAAGAGCAGCTTTAGTTCTTTCCAATACAGTAGATATAAAACAACCTTCCCAAACTTTTTAGGACTGTCCTTTGCTCCCAACTCACATTCCTCCAAAGCTGCATTACTCTCAGCAGTTCACAGAAGTTTCAGTTATTTATTTTGGGGATTATATGACTCTAATTCAAAAAGGAATAATGTGGTATCTCCACATAGATCAAGAAAATTACTGAAGTAAAACTCAGCTGGAACTACCAGGCCTGGAAGGGGTTAAGTAATATTTGTAAAACAAAATTAGGAGACAGAGAGGGTCTGCCCAGGAGCAGGATGGGGACTCAGAGCACCTGGGAAAAATGGAAAGGAGAAGATGTATGGAGATGGAACAGCATATTGTTTATCTCACACCAAGGTTAAAGTCCACATAACAAAAAACTGTGCAGATCTCTATAAAGAAGTAGCAGGAAGCTATTTGTGCTCTGGCTTTTTTACTGGCATCAAGGCACCAAAAGGGAAGTGATCTAAGAGAAAGGGCTGATATCTCACCTCTGTCTATGAAGGAATTGGCTGAAGATGCCTTGTGTTCCTCAAAGGTAGTGTAAAATAGTTACTTTTTTGCTTCTTGTTCTTTGAAACTTTTTTTTATCCTATACTGAAAGCCAACACATTCTTTGGCCATCAGCTGCTTCCTGCGCATGCAGCATTTCTTCACATCACACAAACTTTTCATTTCTAAACTCTACCTGCTGCTAGCATGGGCTAAAGTTAAGTCTTGTTAAATCCTTTCATTTTAAACGCTGAAATATGTACAGTTTTCATTTAATCCTCTGCCAAGGCTTATCTATTATTCTCCTAGCTGCTTTACATACATTTATTTCCCTTTCATCTCTTTAAATTGTGCCTCACTTTTTCTTACTTTACTGTCTCAGGGCTCTGCAAGTTTGTCCCCTTCTGTTCCTCGTGCCAACTGACAGCAGAGCTGAATCCACTGCACGTTTACAGCTGCAAATACTCAGCTGTGAACACCTGACTTCTCCTACACCTTCTTCCCCAGGTGCTCACAAATATGTTCATTTCATGATAGCTGAATTGCTTGGTAATTTTACTTATCCTTCTTTTTATAAATGGAGAAATAGGCAGAAAAAAAATTAGAAGCTAAAAAAGAGAACTTTTCTGGAGCCCAAACAGCTAGATAAGCAAAATTTCAGTATTAGTAGGTCACATCAATGCTCTCTGTGTCTTGGAAAATTCCCCTCTGCAACACTTACATGGAAACTTGGTGGCACAGGCTCAGCCTGCACTGACCCGAGGTTTCAGTAGTATTTCATAGCTCTGCTCTCTCCAGGTCCTTTTTTCTTTTTATTTGAAACCTTCCCATAAAGAAATCACTCTTGCACAATTAGCCAGGAATATATTGCATTGTGATATATAGATCAGGTATTAAAAAAGCTATTTGAGTAATAAGAGAGACTTCAAAGGAGGTGAGATCATGAGAGAATGGGAACATGTTGGACCCATATATGTCAGATTGATTCAGTTTTACTGCTCTAAGGAGAAAGATAGGGGACCAGCAAAGAACTACCCAACACATGGGTACAGATGTTAATTAGGATGGTCACAACATGCCACTTTCAGACCCATGACCTTTGCAGTGAATTAGAGAACTAGTCCCAGATAAGCCAAGGTGTTTGCAGGACACCAGGATGGTGTTTGCAACGACACAAAACAAGAAGAGTAAATATGAGACTGTATTGCCCTTAGCCTTCATCTGCCAGTCACCAGTCTAAGCATCAAGCCTTGTCCTTAGGCATAAATTCTTTCCCAAGTTAGTAAATTACCAACTTTCTAACTCTTGTGGGAATCCTGCACATCCACAGAGAAGAGGAGCAGGACCAGTGTTGCCTTTTATCTGCTGGGACATGCCATGATATTACTAATTTATATCAGGTTTGGGTTGTGGAGTTTTGCAAAGCAAAAAGCAGTTCTGACATGGCCCCAGGTACTGGTTGTAAGGCTGTTAAATATATTACAAGTCTTTCTCAGGCTGAATTTTGAAAGAAGACAGCAGGGGAGTTGTCAGGGGAGCAGGATCTGAAGGGAGCAGCACCTATGGGGAGCAGCTGGAAGGGAACCCAGTGCCTCAAACTGGGCATAGGATAAAAGCATACTCAGGGAGTTAAGGGAAGTTAAACCAAAACACCTAAATTCCTGTGGTGATGGGTAGCTGAGTTTGGGGAGTTTAAAGTTTCAATTTTGGATCAATCTGTTTAATTTTGTATAAGTACCTAAGTCCTTTTTGCCTCAGCCTCAGTCAGTAACAGGCAAACGTTCTGGGTCTGCCTCTCTGAATTATGGTCAGAACATACATTTTTTCTATTAAGACACAATACATTATTTCCATATAACAATAACCACCTAGTCAATAGCTTGCAGAAAATATAAAGGATGAGACAAATTAAAGAAATCTATATAGGTGAGGAAAGCAACTCACATAATATTGGCCATGAGTTAAAAACAACATTTCAGACAGTTGAAATGACAAAAGAGTGTCAGCTGGATTGGAATTTAATTCCCTGCTTATGTGTGGGCTGAGAGGCAAAGGAAGCAGTGTTTGCTGCTTCTGGTTTTGACTGAAGTTGTGTGGCCACTGGGTGTCATCCTTGATTCAGATGACAGCCAAAGCCTTAGCTACAGCAGAAAGCCTGAAACTTCCCGAGCAGTTAAATTCCACTCTATTTGATTGTACAACATACAGCAAATTGCTCTGCATTTAAATCAGCTATAAAATTGAATACTTTGACATAGACAAATTCTCCTTTGTCTCGGTGCCTTATTTGGAGACCTGAAACGGCTGGTTGACGTGAGAAAGAACGAAAAGTAATGCAACCAGGGCATAGGAACTACAAACAAATTTGATGAGTGATTATCAAATCCCAGGAAATATGAAATAAGTGTGATTAAATAATGCAGAGGGTCTATGCAGGAAGTTTGGAATTATATCCTTAATTGGCCCCCAGGCTGAAAAAGCCTATTTCATATAGATAATTGTGTTTAAGATATTCAGTACCCAGATTCAGTACACAAGTTAATGACTATGTATGAAGGAGCTGGTTCAGGAAAAACTAATTTAAGCTCTTCCCTACAATACCAAGCTAGTACCCTCACAGAAGTTTCAAATTTTCATCAAGGAGGAAAAAAGACTCAGCGTCCTTGAGGTTTTATTCATTCTTTCTATTGCAACTCTGTGATTTTTCACATTTTTTTTCCCTGCTCAGCATCTTCCTAGTTCCCCAAAACCAGGATCAATGGGAGCCACACAACCAGGTGTGACCATGAGAGCAATGCCTACACCCAGCTAACTGGGAAGCAGAACTAAACTTTCCAGAAGAAATATCCAGATATCCGGAATAATTTGCCAGTGTTCACATATAAAGATCGAATCAGCTCACAACAGGTCATATGTCATCCTAATGAGTTTTCTGTTATGGGTGGCTGAGAAGAACTTATCAGTGTTATTTTGTTATCTCCTGGGAGTCTAGACAGTCTGAAACCAGCACATAGTACAGCAAAGCTGCTTATCCTAATATTATTTGTCTCTGAAACCTGATTTAGTTTGCCTTCTTCAAGCTGAAATAAAAGGAAGTGCCAGCAATTTCTCCAGGCATTATAGCCAGAAAGAAATGTTTACATTTGTCAGGGCATTCAAAGTATTAATCCTACTGTTCTTAATATGCATACATATAGTTATAGAACAGTTTAAATAACAGGTATTTTTTTTTAATGCAGCTAACCTCAGCTGATAGCTCAGCTTTCCATGGATTATGCAGTCTTTGAGAGCACAGATCTCCATGTAATACTTCCTAGCTTTACCAGTGGATATAATTTTAATGAAAACATGCCAGTATTAAAGAGCTATTAGGCACAGAGTTGAAATTGTCTTTGATTTTGTTCACCAACCAAAAACTTCAATGATTTCTTAAAATCCATTTTTAAAGGAAGACGTTAAATATTCTCTTTACATCCAACAGCTTCATAGACATGATTTAGGTTACTTGGGTTTAATATTATCTGCATTCTCTTTTATGATTCTATTTAGTTTGGAACTGATAGCAGACTTCAAGGAGGAAATGCATTTAAGATGTGAAATTGTACATTAACAATTCCACAAGTTACTGAAATTAATGTAAACCAACACATCTGAAGTAACAAAGTCAGCTAACCAAATTGTCTAAATTGGTACTACTCTTTTCATTGATGCAATAAATCAGTAACAAATATTAGCCCAATGAGGTTTGTTTTTTTTTAAAACAAGCATGTTCTCCTGTTTCTATAAACATATGCACAGATGCACAAGCTGATAATCTATGCCTAGGAATCTAGACACTGTCTCACTTTCAGATCCCAGTTCAAAGGGAAGATATTTTCCCATTTGAACTTCAGAGCACCTTCTATTTAGATGCAGAAATATACTTACGTTGGTTTAATACTCTTGGAATGCTTTTCATGAATGTAGGCACCAGCAAGGCCTCCTGCTCCAGAATTTAAATACTGCAAAGCATAAATCAACATGTACATGTGTTCATTATCTGTGAAGCTGCACTTTCCTTCCCTCACCTCTATAAAACAAACCAATCTTAACATTTCTAGTGGTTTCTAACTGGAGATCTTAGCATTTGTCGCAAAGTGCTGATGGAGGTAAAAGCAGATATATTTTTTCAGATTAGTTTTTAAAGTATCTTTCTTGGCTTCCGTACAATATTTGAAGCCTAACAGGCTAGAAAATTGAAGTACAGCTGAAACAGTTCCATGTCATAATACATACAGCAAAGTCATCAAACAATTCATCTGACTATATCTGTCGATTCTTCATCTCAATAGGAGTCAGAGGAACTAAAGACAACTTGCTCTGTGATCTGAAATTATTTAAGTTTAGGCAAGAATATCCTCTTATTTAGGGACCACTTCATAAAATCCTGTAGCTGCAAGACCTTCTTGGTGTGAGAAGTAAGAGAAGAGCCTCTGATCCTGTGTCCACAGAGCAGATTGTGCTTCAGAGCAGATGTTTTGCCAGCACCAGTATCCATCTCACCTCCACAAGACCTTGTAGGTCATTGCAACTATCATTTTTTGGAATCTCTCAAACAAAACCCCCACGCAGTCAGTGTCCATCTCCTCACTGTGGACAGTTAAAACATTCAGCCAAGTCTTGATCAACAGTTCAGATGAAGTTTTTAATCAACTGACCTGTTTGCTGACCCATGATACAAGTGACATTATGGAAAATAGTCCCCAGCAATGAATCTATTTTACCTTGTAGGAACACCAGCAGGCAAAATCTACTCCCCAGTCATGTAAATGAAGCTCTACATTCCCAACAGCGTGAGCCAGGTCAAAGCCAACAAAGCATCCCTGCAGGAAAGAGATAATTAATATACTACTTCAAGATAATCATCACTACAAAATTATTCTGAAAAAAACACCTTTAGAGCTTTAATTGCTCTCTCTCTAGGTATGCTAACTAGTTACTGTTTGCAAAGGGAGATAGTGATAGGACAAGTGGGAATGGATTTGAACTAGAAGAGGAGAGATTTAGATTAGATATTTGGAAGACAATTCTTTGCTGTGACAGTGGTGAGGCACTGGCACAGGCTGCCAGAGAAGCTGGTGCTGCCCCATCCCTGAAAGTGTTCAAGGACAGGTTGGATGGGGCTTGGAGCAACCTGGTCTAGTGGAAGGTGTTCCTGCCCATGACAGGAGGTTTGAAATAAGATGATCTTTAAGGTCCCTTCCAAACCAAACTCTTCTATGAAGATTCCATCAAGTCCCATCTGAATTGAGTTATTGCTAGAAATAAGTTTTCTGTACCATATATACATGTAGAAATCGCGATTTTTTTCTGTTTTGTCTTCAAGGATGCTTGGATATGGTTCAGATTCCTGAGCTTTTGATCATGCAGGAAAGTGGAATCACTTGAAAGAAATATTCAGAACAAATACATACATTCAACTTGTTGCTTGGCCTGACAAGCTCTAGGCAGAGACAAAGTAATAATGTGCATAATGATGCGAGTTACTCATGAACAATTACATTCCACTATATACTTATAATCAAGGTCTCCTTGATTTTTAAATGAGGAGGATCTTGCTTTTTGGGAATCCACACGAGTGAGTAGCAGCTTATGTAAACACTTATTTGTAAGGACTTTTGCTCTTGTCCCTGAAAAAAAAGCATCCTGTCATTTCTCTGTGAAAAGTGGTGTATTTTCCATCACCTCAATTTACACAAGGCACTGTGAAAAAGGGGAAAAATCGTGTAAGGACCAGAGATATCTACACCAAAAAGTAGCAAGACATAACCACAGGATGGCAGCATTTTTAAAGTAAAAACTTCTTCCAAGCGTTGCTATTTAAACACAGACATAAAACTGCTTTTTGTGCCTGGACTACAAATTAAACGCTATTTTGCATTTCACTTTTAAAACACAAACAGCTTGCTTGCAAGCAGCTGGGTAGGAATAAGAGTGAGAGCAGAAGCTTCAGAAAAATCAACGTCCAATAATCAAACAAAGAGTTTTTTTAAGAATCTCTTGCTGTTTCCTGCACGGAGGAAGCCTTAGCTAAATTATTTAAAGAGTACTTTGGTGTATTTAATCTTCTGTATAAACTAGATAACAGTTTGAATCAAGCAGCATTTTAAGATGTGATATGTTCATTCTAATGGAGGTGGTGGCAAAGTTATCAGTTTGAGAAGTTACTCCAAAACAAGGAGAAGAAAACTCACTGCCAAAGCGTTTGCATGATCTAAACATTGGAATAGCAACTAGTTTGTTCCAGGAAATAGTCTTGGTGTCTTGACTTCACAGGGTCACACAGAAATGAGTTAAGACAAATAACTGAAATTGTGAAGCTAATGCAGAGAGGCTGAAGAACACAGAATGCCCATGGGAATGCTCTCATTTAGGGATAAAATGGCTTTGGATCAGAGAAATAAGCTAGGGCAAACTGAAGCCAATCTCATAGTGAACAAGAAGATATTCATAGGGTTTTAAGGCATTAACTTCAGAACTTCAGATGGCTGGATATAAACTTTTACAGGTATCCCTTTGTCCAGACATCCCACACAAAATTGTTTGAAGAATTTCTATGACAGATTCATTGGCTTCAGTGAAAAACCAGGAACAACACAATATGATGAGAGCCCTGCAGAATGTCTGGCAGTACATTAAAAAAGTTAAACAAAAAAAGTGGTGGCTGCTCATAAAGAAAAAACCTGCAAGAAATTTAAATCTATTATTTAATAATTAATTGCAGTTAATAATTAATAAGCACAATAATTCCATAAGTTAAAATCAGTTGTGCTTTCCCTGTCAGTAAACCATAAACTCTATAAAAAAATATGTTCAAGCACAAGATGACAAATTAGAAAAGCACAATAGACAGGAGGTAGGACGAGATGCCTTGGGACAGTGACAGGTTGGATGTCCTCATAGTCATGGCTGCATAATGAGGCTCCACATCCATATCTATACCTGTGACCTTGACATGCACAAACTCTTGGCCATCAATGCTGACTGGGCTAGATCAACCATGTCTCGTAGCCCTCAAACAGGAGGACCAGGGATATACCACCCATGTGTCATCCTCCTGAACTCCTTGAGTTGTTCCTCAACACTTAGAAATTGCCTGGCAAATCCTCCTGGGCACTATTTAACTTAGTATTGAGGCATATACTGAAAATCTGGGTTCAGTGCTGGCAAGTTTCCTGCATCGTCTCAGAAACACCCACTCGTACCAGTTTGTTCGAGGCGTCATCTGCAAGATGGGTTGTGCTGGTTTGCTTTCCCAAGGAGGTGTCTGGCACTTGAGTCACACAAACAGCAAATGTTTAGCCACACAGATTGCATGGAAAAAGTAAAACAAACTGAAACAGCTCTCCCTGCACAAGCCACGCAGAACCAGGACTGCGTGGGAAATGTGCTTCCCCAGACTGGGGGGAAAACAGAGCTCTCCATCTGCTCTGGGCGAAGGAGAGGACATGTGCTCTCCCCTGCCTCTTCCGTTTTATTCTAACATCTAAAAGTCATTTCTGCAAAGTGTCTGGGTAGCTGCTGATAACCAGCAGGTAACAACTCAGCATGGACAATGACATTTGGAGAGAGGGAGAGAAATGACAGTTTCACACCAGCAAAGCTGGGACATTTAGAAAGAGAGACAGGAAAAGCAATGAAGATGAAGGATCTTAAAGCTCTTCCTACTGGGACTCAAGAGATTAAAATATTTTACATAACGGTACAGAGTCAGAGGAAAGTACAATCTAACTTATGGAATGAAAATTATATTTGAAAGGTAGAGTCTCCTAAAAGTCAGCCATTTCTTCACTTGCAGAAGAATAAAACGACTCAGCCTCCTCCATCCTCAAGAGCAAGCTCAAAATTATGAAGCAAGGAAAACTGTTACATCCTCCCCAGCCTGCTGATGAGTTTCTTGCACAATACATAGTAATTTTGATTTATCTGAGAGACCTTAGATGGAAAAATAGCCTGAGGTAATTTTTCAAGCTTAATTTAGTTCATTTAATATTTAATGACTTAATGAAGCTGTCTATGTGCAGAGTTTTCACTCTGGGAGGAATCTTAATGTACGCAGAGAACTTAGGAAATTGGCTTAAAAAATGTAAAAGGAAATCAGTAACTTAATTCATAAATGATTGACCTCAAGAATCCTAGGATATTTTCCAGACCTCCCGAGCTCACAGCTCAAATCTCTAGCCAAGCCCTGATAGGGCACAACATTGCAGGATTTTATTTCAATTGTACATTAAAAGAATTATTAAGACCATCTGTGTAGGACTTTTCTCTCTGATGTACAGGCTGACAAGCGATTTTTTTTCCTCTCTTCTTATCAAATGACATTCTCACCTTGTATTTTCCCCTTCTGACTCATTTGCTTGTCAGCTCTCCCCAACCTATTTTCTGTTCAGGAGCACAGGGTCATTCACCACCCTTCATCACTGGGAAGGAGAGCCTTGTATTTTTGCTATAAACTTGACTTTTCAGCCTTATCCTCTTCTAAAATATATTTTAAAGGACTATCAGCCTTTTTGTGATAATAAGTTAGGTATAAAACAATGATGGTTTCATCATGTCCAGAAGCTCCAGAAGGCCTTCAAGTCCAATTAAACCCATAGATACATTGATGCTAATGACTGCTTCAGCAGTGGGTATTTGCTCTCCTCTAATTCAACAGCAGCTCCTAACATCAGCTCTGGGAAAAGAGGAGATGAGCCAATTGTTTTTGAAGGTCCCACATTTTGGGCATTTGATAACCAGAGCCCCAGGACTAAAAGAAGCAGCAGGGTGCAGGAATATGTCTTACCAATGTTAAGACAAACTCTTCAGGAATTGCTGATTTCATGGCTGTTCAAGTAAATATTTGCCCTATGTAGATGTTTAAGTGTGGTGTAACAGTATGTTACATAGTGAGTTTGTATAAACATATAAACATCACTTAACCTGGGGGCAGAATCCATAAGGACATTGAGCTGAGTGTATCTGACAGGAGAGAAATAAAAGTAGGGCTGGCTCATACTTCCCAACCATTATAGGTACTCAAACACTTCTTCAGGCTGAATTACTTTTGCCTTTTCAATATACTAATGACATTTTAGGCCATGAATCTACCTGAATCCCAGTCCTACACACTCTAACCACAAAGAGACTGGTGGGGTTTTTTGTTGCCCTTTTGAAAAATCTCTAGAAGAAGAGATTCCCATCTACTTATGGCATTTTCAACAAGCATACAGCTGCAAATGGGCCTTTGATATCTACCTGTGCCTACTGGAATGCTGAGCTGATTCCAGAAATTGCTCTCCAATTCAGTAACATGATACAGTCTCTGTATAATGTGTGCAGTGGTTCTGTGTGTGTCCATGTGGAAGCACATACCCCTGAGCTAATCTTATTACTTGCACTGTCTTATAGAAATTTTAATCTCTCTCCACCAAGTCCTGGTTATCTCCTCAGACATTATAAATATCCAATCCATTTTCACTCCATGCAATAAACTATCAGTGACTACTCTTGCCCAGAATGCATTGGGGAAGAGCCACTTTGGGGTAGTTTATAGCTTTCAGTGAAACTGTCTCACTTCCACTCATCCAAGCATGTGTCCTGCAGTCTAGAGAGCAACTTTAGAGAGGCAGTAAAGTGAGTCTTTTCCCAGGTTGTTCATGTTTATAGAGGAGAAGAAAGATTTCTCTCTCTCTCAGACACCTTTCAGACACATCATGGAGCAGATTTCAGGGAAGCAGCACTGTAGGAATGTAGGTGTTGGCAGCTGAACGAAAGCTTTGCTGCCACCAGGAGAGTAGAGCAGTGGGTGGCATCATCCTGTTAATAACTTGTCCTCCCTTTCTAACATTTCCACATAGTTTTGGGATAATTTGTGGTCAGCAGAGTACTGGAAGAGCCTCCAGGAAAGCACCTTTTAGAGCTAATACACAAACCCATTCCCCCCTGCAACTGACTCTCCCCATTCCTTTTTCTCCTTGGTTTTCCACATCCATGTCAGAAGTTGGTTTTGTTTTGTACTGTTTTTAACACCAATTTTGTTGCCAGGTGCTGCTCTGTGAGAACATTCCCTTTTTATATCCCATGGGCCCTGTGCTAGCTCTCACACCTGCTCTGCTCTCCCAGGGGAGACTTTACCATCACTTTCCGGTAGCATAACTTACTCCCTGACCTCCAGAAAAATTTCCACTGCAAAGCCTACAGCAACAGAAAATGTATAGCCTGTTGTGAGGCAGGAACCTCTCCAGAGAGTTAAGCCATCAAATACAAAGCTTTAGCTGGTTTGCCAAAATCCACTGATACTAAATAAATTTACCCTTGAGTGGTTTAATCTTGTATGAGATAAGGTGCATCCAGTAAAAGATTGCCCCTATGGAAAGCCTGGTGACCTCTCCTGTTGATAAGATGACTTAAGTAAAAACTGCTTTTTCCTGGATTCCTAAGGCAATTGAGATGCTTAAAGAGTTTTACAGCTGTGTCCACAGAGCAAACTACCTACAAGCTCTGAAGGCTGAGTCATCACTAAAACACAGTCATCTCTTGATGTTGACCTGCTCCACATTGTGTCTGTCTCTAGAAAACTCATCAGCTGAGTCTGAGCAGTGTTGGCTCCATGGGGAGGTCACCTCCATGCTTACTGGGGGCAAAAATTGCCACAATTTGGCTGTGGGAAAGGAGAAATATCAAAAGTCTGAAAAAAAAAAAAGCAGAAATCTAACACAAACTAACTTTTAAAAAGAGATTTTAGCTGTGATTACCTCCACCTCCTTCTGCACTGAACCACTTGATATTCTATCCTTCAAGAAAAGTCATGTGGAAGTTAATAATCATGAATTACCTTTCCATATAGTTTAAGTCTCACCTGCAAGATTGCTCTCACAGGGCTATTACTTCATGCAGTGCACAGTCCCTGAAGGATCTGAGCATAGAGTGGTTTTACATTTTACCAGAGGCCCACAAATTTCCATATGTTTTGTTCCCCCCCCCCAAAAAAAAAAAGAGTAGAAATTAAAAATATTTCACAGACCATTGATCTAAAATTGGTACAAAAAGGACAAGTCTGGAGCAGTCCTACCTTTTTTTGGCCAGCCTTTGTTATTCTAGGGATGTCAAACAACTGTCCTGTGTAGTACTGCACCCCACTGAACAGAATGACAGCAATAGAGTCCCCTTCCTTCTCAATTACAGCAAGGATATCTTCAGTCCTCAAGGTCTCCTCCCCCTAAAACAAAGTTAAAGCACACATTTTACATCAACTCTGGCATTAATGGAACTGTCATTCCTTATTTCATAATCTATATTTTACCATGAGCCATGCTGCTTGCATAAGGAGATCAAAAGCAAATCCTTAGCATGGTAATGATATACAAAGGTAGTGCTATGAAGTAGCCTATGAGCAAGTAACCTCAAGTAAAAAGTTAAAAAACATTAGCAAATGACTCCTGAAGGTACCAGTTATAAAAAGTCTGTTCACTTCATATTCCAACATGCTTCATGCTCTTTAATATTTCTGAGAGTTTTGATGTACAGTAAAAAAATTCCTGATGCAAACAGACTATCTAAGAGTTTTTAAGTGGCATCTGAAATTTGTGACACCCACAAGACTTGGAAGTTGCCTATCAGTTTCACTCTGTACTTTTCTGATAAACTCGGTATCCCACAGGAAGCTATTATAAACCTGCCATATTTATATTTCAAAAACAATAAGCCTCACATCATCAGAAGCACAAAAATCCCCAAAACTGGGATCATTAAATATAGAAGAATTTCAACCACAGAAAAAAAAAAAAAAAAAAAGGCCTCATTTTTTGATTCTTTATAGGAAAATTACTGCCTCATCCTCCTCCCGTCTTCCTAGCAAGGGATCTTGTAAAACATACCACCACCTAGGGATCAATTAGGCAGTGAAAACCTAGAATTAAATTAGACTTGTTACTGAGAAGAGCTTGGGCAAGATGGTTGAATTGCAAGGGACTGTTATTATCTCAACAATCGCTGCAAATCTATCAAGTGTTCAGGAGTGGGTTCTTTACTCACAAGATGATTCAGATTTCAGAAGCAAAAGGTCACCCTCGGTTTATAGTTAGGTGAGAAAGTTCTTAATACTGCAGAAGTGAAGCAAGGCAGCCTTTCAAATTAATCTGAATTGCATATTACTCAGAGCAGACCTTTCCCTTAGTCTGTGCTCATACAGACACAGTGTTGCTAGTGTTATGGCAATCCCTTACCTTAGGACACTCAAAGGACATTTAGGTTTCTCAATGAGTTACTATATTTTGAAGGTGACTCAGGATACTGTCAGTTTTTGCAAACAGGGAAAAAGGGAAAATAACTTGTTTTGTTTTGTTTTTCAGGGAAAATTATGTATTTATTCAGCACTTATAGAATGGGATTTAATGTCAAAAAAATATATTGAAACAGATGAGACAATTCATAAATTTTGCCTAAAAGAAGCAGCAAAACCAGATTATAGCTTCTGTAGGCAGACACTAGAATATTTGAGGATATGTGCTTCCTTTCACATGAAAAATGTCTCTGCCCTCAGTGACAGCAAGCAGAAGTGACATATTTCTCACCAACCTGCCGTGGCTGCAGCATGATCATGCATTTCTCCACGTCAAGCCCGTGCAGTCGAAGCTGGGACTCAACAGCATACTGGAAAAGAATTCCATGCAGACTGAATTAACACAAATATATGATGAACAACTAAAAGAAAAAAGGACAAACACATCACTTCCAAAAGGGATTCAGATGCCTTGCCTTTCACTACAGGTAATGCTTGAAAGCATAATCCAACTCCACTGAAAAAGTTGCAGATTTGCTTTGGATTGAAAAAGATTCAAATTTGATTCATGTGAGAGTGTAAGGAGAAAGTCAAAGCCTAAATCCTACAAGATAAATTCATGGAGCAGAATGAGGGTGAGATAGGGCCCTGAGCAACCTAATCTAGTGAGTGGCATCCCTGCCCATAGCAGAGGAGTTAGAACTAGATGATCTCTAAGGTCCCTTCCAACCTAAACCATCCTATGATTCTATGTGGTGGCAAATGTGCTTTACCAGATGTCAGCAAGCCAAGTCTGCATAGGTAACAGTGAAGGAGAAGACTGAACATCACTTCTTCAGGAGCTCTGAGCACCCACTTTGCTTGGTCACACATGCTGAGTCTGAGGCTGTGCCCTGCTGCCAATGCAAACCATGTTTTGGCAGAACATACATGCTGTCCTGTGCTGGCCTCACATCTTCAATTCGCTGCACAACTTGGGGGAAATGAGAGCCTTAAACTCTAAAGCTACTTTGTAAATCCTATTCACTGATTTTATTGATAAATAATGTTTCTGGAGATCACATAACCGTCATCAAATAGCAGTATAAAATAGTTTAGAATTTCACAACAGGAACTGAAGCAATGACAGTTGCAAAAATTATTACTGAAGTGCCATAGAAATTTAAGTAGACAGAGTCCAAGTGTACAAGTGCTTCTGGAACAAACATGGGATTAATATGAACATTACTTAGAATAAAAGCAATTTCAGGTTTATACATCTGTGCCACTGTCTTCATTACAAATAAACCTGTTAGTAGCTTGAGTCATTTTTATTGCACCTAAGAGATCAAATTCGTTATCAATTTCCACGAGTTTATGGTGTTGATGATAAAGTAGCAGTGGACCACAAACCCAAAGATGAATTTTCTTGAAGCTGTGATGCACAGGCTATTGTCTCCTGTATTATAGCAGACAAATTATGTTTGAACTAGTAATCTAAAGTGCTAAGAACAAACATTTCCATCTCTGTCTGGGGATATATAAGTGCTAATGCTATGAGTTTGTATTGATTTGGTTTCATAAAGTAAAACAGCAACAAGAATTAATAAAACATTTACAAGTTTAGTTGATTTAGGCCAGTAGTTTGCTCAATGTCTTAAAAAAGACTAATAAATCAATGCACCCATTCAATCTTTTCCTCTTGTAACATTTTTTATTTGAACAAAAGGAATAAAGCTACAATCTGTAAAATATGCTGAGCTCAAAAGCTTCTGACAGATTTTTTTAATGTAATGTTACTTGGACAAGATGAGCTAATAAATATTCAAATCAGACTACTGATATTCTTTGGAAAAATATGATTAATAATACAAATATGGTGAAATATTAATTTCTTACATGGTCAGAGGGAAAGGCTCTTGCTTCTAGAAGAATTTTATAGCGTCTTGGAGTAGGCTTAAAGAAAGATAGCTGTTAAGGAAAGGAAAAAATATGTTGAAATTTATCTAAGCAGAGATGAGAGATGCTCCCAGCATATAACTTAATAAAGGCTGCTTTACTTTCATGTAGACTACAGAGAATCCCCCAGAAATTACAAATATTTCTTTGTCCATATAACATTTATCAAAGTAGGGAACTGCATTATACTGTATGTCATATATCCATAACAAAGACCACAAAAACTCAGCAGTGAAAATTTGCACTTGGAGGAATCGATGGCAAAGCTTTGACTGCAGCCAGGGAAGCTGAGATTTCACCAGCAGTGGCTGAAGTTCAGCAAAATAATTGGATTTCCATCTGTGCACTAAGACATTAGTTATGTCCTCTCTTCTGTTGAATCTCCAGTTAACCAAAGGACTAAGCCTTCTGCAAAGACTTCACCTCAACACTTTTAGGTGAATGGTCTTTCCTTCTCAGTTGCTCACATGGAGAAAACCTGGGCTGGTCACCATGCCAAGAGGACTAAGAGAAGTCTTAGAAACCCTCCTGTAGTCACAGAGACACTTCAGCATAAGGAAGTCACATTTAAGGCCACTATATCATACAAATAAAAATGCTTTATCACATTTTAGGCATATATAAAACAGCATAACTCTAAGTGTCATCTCTTGTGTGCAACTGTATTTTAAGCCTGACTGAAATTACAGCTTTGGCTTGTTCACAGTTGTGTTCACAGCTCTTGTTTCCTAAACTTTGAAATTTGGTGTGAAATTCAAATTTGAGAAGTGGCATGCAAATGTTTCTTAAATGATAAAGTCTCCTCTGGCAATTCACATATAACACATGAGAACAGCTCAAACTTCCCTTGAGTCCTTAAAAATATTTCTCTGTCCAGCTTTTCTGCTTAGTATTGAGTGAGGTCAGGTCTTGCACATATATTATTCAAGATACAACTGTCAAGGCTTAAGAAAAGTTTGTCACCCACTGCTGTCTCTGTGAGGTCCTCAGAAAGCACTTTGCTTACATATACAAGGAAAGGAGAAATATACTTGTCAACACAACATCAAATATACATCATAAAGACATACCATCTGGAGGTGCAAGTTGACAGTCAGTCCATTCATTAAGGCTACTTCCTGTCTTTGGGCCCCTGAAATCATAAAAAGGAAAAAAAAAAAGGTTAAAAACTCGTTGGGGGTTTTCTTTAAAATTTCAGAGAAATCAAGTATAGTGGGGAAAAAAGCAGAAGTATGAGTTCAGTCAATATCTCTCTAAAGACTGGAAAGGAAATGAACATTTGAGGTGTCATCAGAGTGAAGTAAAAAGATTTCTTGTCTGACTCACTACACTACACTGGCAGGAAAATATTTATTTTTTTCAGGTCAGTCACAGAAAACAACAAACAATGAAGTATTTCCATTTCCCAGCAAACCACCAGTGGATTTATTATCATGAATACCTCAGGCAAAAAATCAGGTCAGATAGACTATATGTAAAGCAAGAGTTGAAGGCTTATTTTTGTCAGAAGTTTATATGTAACACAAATGAGAAAACATTTTGAGATAATAATCTATTTTAAGTGGTAATTGCAATGTCAAGCTAAATCTCATCCCTAATAAAAAAATCCAAGGAAACTTGACCTATTGGATATAACAGACCATTATTAATGTAGCAACTTCACAAGAAGCCATACCCACATCCCTCCAAGGAGACTAATAACAGATACCTTTTGGCTATAGCTAATCACACGCAGAGCTAATAGAGTAACAACTAATTGGTGCTACCAAGTATTTAGTAACAAATTCTCCAGCACTTATCAACCCGTGGTGAAAGGTTTTAGGCAGGATGAGAGACTGTGTTGGGCAGGGAGCCACTGAGATATGGAGAAAATCAATTCCTGTTTCTTTCTGTTTTGCCTCATGTCTGTTGCTGAAAAGCAGTAATTTACCCTTGAGACAAATCAGTGTTTTGAGAGTCTTCTTCAGCTGGGAGTTGGGCTCATGTGCCTTGTCCTGGTCATGGCCCAGCCATGGAGTTCACCAAAGGTGGAGAGAGGTTGTGGACAGAGAGGGATGAAGACACATGTAAATAGGCAGAGAGTGCAACAATCACCCTTGAAATCAATGAAAAGGAAGGAAAACATGATGTTGAGATTAAAGGGTAAGGGGTACCATAAGAAACAGAAAGCTGAATACCAGGTTTCTTCTGCCCCTGTTTTGGAGGACACATGAGGTTCTAACCAACAGAGGGAAAAGGCAACAAGAGCACCGAGACACTCTCACCATATCCCAAAGAGTTTAGGCTCATGGAGTTAGTACTTTGCCAGGACAGGAAAAGGACAATCATAGATTCAACTCAATACAAGCAAACCTACTCGAAGAACATGGAAATCTATGACTTTAATACATCCACAAATTCTTCCCAATCAGGCCTCAGCTTCTGCCAGCACAGGAAAAGCCAAGAATAATTCTTATTGAGGGTTCAAGGACCTTTCTATGTGTTGCAGAAATCTTCAAGTTTTGGACAGAAAGGCAACAGCTGTAAGTAACTGGGAATGACCAGTCCAGGGAATGAGTCACAATGAAAAAGAGATGTCATGAACAAGTTCTCTCCTTCAGACACCAGGAACATCCTAAAGTTTGTGGAAAGAAACTTATGAAGCACTAGCTTTTCATAGGGAAAAATAAGCTTTTTTCCTCACTTAAACTCTTCTCCTTTGCTTTCTTTTCTTTCCTCTGATAGCATTGGATCTGCAGGCTCCAAGCTGCTGGAAGAGGTCACCTTGTGGCTGTTCTATAGCAGATACAGAAGACAGCCAGAGAGAGTGATTGCAGCTCAAAACAGCATTATTTGCAGTCTTAATATTTCTATGGAACTCTTGAGGCTGAGAAAAGGGACAGCATCAAGAAATGGTATTGTTCTTATTTCTCCCTCTGCTCCTTCGATGAGATCTGTGGCTTTCACAGCAAATCCTGCACGAGCAATCCTCTGCCTGCTGCACCATTTCCATATAAAACAAATGGTTAATCTGTAGATCACTTTTAGCTGCATGCTAGCATCCGAAATTAAATATGACACTACATTTGTCATGTAAGCCTTGGTCTTCCATAAATTATATATTTATTAAAAGCTTGCCATTATTGAATTTCATGCCCACAAAACAAACCTCATCCGTGTCATTGGAAAACTGTTATCCTTTATAACCTGCACTGCATTTCAGAAAACAACCTTTCTATGATCCGATTAACCTATTACAATATTCAAAGACCTGGCACACAGGAGACAAAATTATGTTTGCTTGCCTTATTTCCTAACTTTATACCATATCTCCAAGACAGGCTAAAACCTGTATGTTCTGTGTGATAAATCTCCTCTTTAATAAAAGGAAGCAGCGTTTGCAAAGTACAACTTCAGAGACAATTATGATTGCGTTAGGCAGACACTGCCATCCTTCTCCTCTCTGACTGCTGTGGGAGCCTGATCCTAGCTGGAGTAAGTAAAAAGCATTTTGTAAAATGATTGGAAAAAGGCTAAGGGCCTCAATTCTGAAAACATTTTGGTTATTTCAAATAATCCTTATCATTCAAAGTCACTACAAATCTGCTCAGCATTCAGTCTTCCCTCAACAGAGACCTGCCCGAGCACATCGTACAGCAGCCGCCACACAGTTAATCTTGTTCCATCAGAAGGTGATCCTGCCAAGGTTGTAATGTTTTAATAAAGTCTAGTAGGAGAACAGAGATTGCCGTCACCGCGTTATGCCACTTTGCGCGAGCACAGGAAAAAAAGCTTTGGCCTCCATTGACCTTGACTCTTCATTTCACAATGTATTTACTACTGTAACTTTCATTGAGCAAGAAAATGTGACTGCATTTAATAAGGAAGGTGTTCGAGCACTATAAACCATTAAACAGACAAAGGTGTTTTACAGTCTTTGGTCCATTCCTGAATAAATCTTACCAGGTAGTTTTACTTCCTACTTCTGCTTAAAGTGAGAAATGACAATTTTTCCTCCTCTGCCATAATATATTCAATACTGAATGAAAAACAGGATGAATTTCTGTTGTTTTTACATTGAGTTCACTAAAAAAGGAACTTCAGAATTCACTCAAGTCATACACAATCCATATTGCAACTTATTGGAAACCAGTACTTAATCATAAATTGGAGGAGTGAAACTAGATAATATTTAAGGTGCCTTCCCACCAAAACCATTCCATGACTCTCTGAAATACCACATCTATAGAGAGCATTTTAACATAGTCTTTTTTCCTTGCATTTATTCTCTTAGCCTCTTCACTATCACTTAGAATTTTAGAAACTGGAATTTACTATGATGCATCCATTATTTGGGAAATATTAATTCATTTGCATCCTAAGAATCACTCACCTACATCCTGAAAAGAAGCTTTGAAGATATTATCTAAATAAAACCCTGCATTCAAATTTGAGGGCCAGATTTCAACCTAAACCATATTTTATAGTTCAATTAAACCAAGGCACAAAAGTCCTAGAGAATAAAATCCATGTGAAAGATACTCCAGGAAAGGAATTTTACAAGTAAAGAATAGGTTATTGATAGGGTGAACTCAGTCAAAATTTTTACAGAAAAATTTTAATATTTGTTTACAATGAAGAAAATAGTACTAAGTTCAGTGTGGTTTGGCCCTTGCAATAAAGAAGTACCTGTGGCACATGGAGCTTGGAAAAGAAAAAGAGAGTGAGGAGATGGACAAGCAATTAGACAATATTTAAGCAAAGCTCTCATTCCCCTCTCCTCACCCCAAGAATGCATCTTTTAGTTAAATTAATATTAAAACAGAACTGGAGCTGGCAGCCTCTGCAAGACAGATGGCTAAGGGAGAAGAGGTCCCAGCCTGACTCCCTGCTTTCTGCAGTGACTCTTAACCTAAAGCTGAGGCCAAATGGACCCTGGTCCCAGCAGTGGCAGGAGGTCAGGACTCAGCCTGCCCCAACTCCCTGCTGGGAGCCCACAGGGGTCCACGTTTTGCAAACAGAGCAGTGGCAAACCATCACAGAAGGATGATAATTCAGGTGTTTCCAGCTGCCCTTTGAGGGATCTTGGCTCTCTGTCCTGGTTATGCAAAAAGCATCAGTGGTCTTACCTTGTATCTTTACTAATTTAAGTGCCTGGAAGCATGTACTTTAACTACTCTCCCATTTGCATAAGGCATAAGAGAAATTCTTAATTCCCCAGTGAGTTAAATTCAGGGTTTCCAACTCAAAATTCCAAGTCCCATTTCCCTACCTGCCCACAGATTCCCAGTTATACCCTACCAGAAAAAGAATATCCACTGGCCAAGGTAGATGGGTCATACTAGAGAAATCCTTGAATCAGCTGCATTCAGCATTTCAATACCCTTCACCCCTTTATATTCTCACATTTTTATGTTCTGTGATAGTTAACAGATGAAGGTACTGAGCTTGTCCTTGAATGTAATGAAAGCAAGAAAAGTAACTGAGCAATACCAGGTCCAACACTTTGAAAATCACAACCCTCAATCTGCTTTTTAGTTTGCTTTTTTTTTTTCATTTCACTCTGCAGATGTGATTTTTCTGCATAGCCCAGTGATGCCCAGTGTAACCACAGTCCAATTTATGTTATCTTAGTATTTACATCATAGACCAACTACAACAATAATTTATTGTGTTTGTTCTGCTCCAATGATAATGTCCATATTTTAGCTATTTGGAAACTTCATAAAGAATTTAGGAAGTGATTTTATTTATAAATATATAAATAAGCTTGTCATGAAGCATTCTTTAATGTCACTGTTTCCAATTGTTCTGACCCCATTTGTTTTTCTTGAAGGAGAAAACCCATAATTTTCTCATTGAACGCTTGTCTACAGTTGGAGGAGAAATTACGATACAATATCTAGAGCACAGCAGGTCAACATAATGGTAATATTTTTCCTTAGTGATAGCACAAAGGAACACCTGATAATTCAGTTCTGACAGTCACTATTGACAACAGCTAAATAGAAATGTGGGCCAAATCTCACTAAAACCTACTAACCTAACCTTGACAACAGCTGTGAGGGTTGGGGAGAACAAGACCCTGCCAAGATCATTTCTCTCTCCCCTTGTAACAGCAACAGCTCCAAAGGAAATCCCAGTGAAAGATTATTTCAGTAACTACACAGAGTAAGAGGTGATAGAGGAAATTTGCATTCAGACTCTGCTGACTACTTTCATGGCTGGCAAATACACCAGGAGAAGTCTCCAGGGCTCCTTCTCAATCTCTGGAATAACCAGAAGCACTTACTGCCGAAGTCCTGCAGCACTGCAGGTTCCTCATGGGTTACAGCAGGGTAATGGGAACTCATCAATAGAAGGTCCTGCCCCAATTATCTGCTTCATTCACATAAGCAGTTCTCAAATATGAGGCTGGATTTAGTGGCAGGGAAAAGAGGGAAAGCAGAAAATGTCTAGATAGAAATCATTTTTCAAAGGGGAAAGTTCATCATTTTGCTTCAAGGAGAGTGACTGAGAATCTGTAATACCTAGTGCCCTTTAAAAGGGCTTCACATGTTAGACCAAGTGGTTTATGATGCTCCAAGAAACCCTTTGCTGCAATTAGTTTCATGACATGCATATGCTCGTATATTATCACATACAATCATCTCTTAAATCACTTGCAGTCTTAAAATAAAGTGTTAGTCCACACACAAGGCACTCAGAAAATCTACTTTGAAATAAAAGCATAAAAGGAACTAAATTATGCTTACAGAACTTCAGGATTTTCAGCACTAAAAGAAAACACATTTGTCTTTATTTCTAGAGAAAATATTTTCTCTCAAGTTCAAACCTACCAACCAGCTGAGCCATCAGGTCCAGGATACACTCGTCTGCCAAAGCCCATGGGCGCTGGCCATTGAAATGGCCATGAACACCTCTGAAAAAGAAGAGAAGAATGATGAAAACCTGTGCTGTTCCCTTTGGATCAGTCCTAAGAAACATACTCGATTTGGAAATCCTTCATTTGGAGGAGGAGAAGACTCACCTAAGCTGAGCACATCATTTATCATGCTATTAAAGCTTGCAACAAGTGTCATTAATTTGTTGGTTTCTAGCAGGTTTTGAGTTGCTTGAAAACCATTTATTTTTACCCACAAAATTCCTCTAAAAATTCCTCAGAATTCAAGATGATAGCATGTTCACAAGCCCGTCCTAAGTGGCTTGATGGCCAGTGTGGGATGACACCTGCAAACTCCAGCCCACATCAACTGCACAGAGAGCAGAGATCACTCCACAGAGTTACTCCACCTGCATCTCTAGCTGAACGTTGCATGGTGCAGAGGATGATAAACTTGAATACTGCCTTACTTCCAGACAGAAATATTTCTTGTCAGAAACAATTTCCATCCTACTGCATCTCCTGGCTGAGCTCATCCTTCTGCATAAACCAGCAGGTCCTTCATGGCTATGCAGGGAAGCACCTGCCCCAACAAGAGTTGCTTGCTAATTTGTATTGCTTCTCTTCTCTCTGACAAATTGTTCTAGATCCAGGTGTGCATAAAGCTTTTTTGGGATTGACAAAAGATATTTTAAAACTTTGTATTATAAACAGTTCCTGTCTACAGTGGATCATATGGTCACCTTAAACCCAAGTGCACTGCTACACTGAAGTGACAGATATGTACATTTAGTTCTGAATTAAGTGCTCTAAACTAATTTTTCGCTCAATTATGATGCAGAAGAAAACTTCTAAGGTAGCCATCATGCATATATAAATAAAAAGTTGCCAAGTTTCTTAAACATGTAGTGTGTAGAGTACAGATTTAAATGCAAATGGAGGCAGATTGAGAAAAACAAAAATGGTGCAAATCCAGAGGAGCATTGCTCTGGGCTCCCATCTCACACTGGATGGTTTTCATATTTGCTGAGCACCACGGGGTACTTGTGGAGTCAGAAACACCAGGCTGCAAGTGGCAGAGTATAAAGCTGTTTCAAAATAGGGACAAAGCCAGTGGGAAGCTGGGTAGAGAGCAAAAAAAAAAAAACCCTAAAAGCTTTGATGTGAGGAAAAAAAGAAAAAGTAATAAACCTTTTAAAGAAGTACAGGCCCACAATGTTCACACAAAATCATGAGAGGACAGCTAGCAGATTAAGACAGGAGAAAGGAGGGTGCAGGAGGCACTACCTCATCCTCAAGGCTATTTAAAAGATTGGTTTTCCCTATCCACCTTGTACTTTTCCTTCTCAAGTAGAGCTTCATTCTGTCTCCCCCACAAATTGCCTGGGTGTTTTACAGTCAAACCCTTTCTGATTGACTTGGGTCTAATTCACACCTCCTAGGGATATTTCCAAAAAGAATCACAATCCTAAAGAATAGAAGAACTGCTGCAAAAAGCACAATTGTGTTAACCATTTCAAGCCTCTCGCCCTTGCAAAATTCCCCTTACTTTGGCCTAGATTAGGTCAACAGCTAAAGAAGGGCAGAGGTACAGCTGAACACCTCTTAGAGACAGAATAACATCCCTATGTCTCACATGTCTCAATAGCAAGTCCAGTCTCACACAGACAACAAGGAGGACCCCAATCCCCAATTTGGATAAGGTCATGGTACACTAGCTGACTGTTTTTCTCCATTCTAGAATTGCTCTCTGATGAGACCTCAGCAGCAGAGAGCGGGCAGTGTGAAATAGGACTCATTTACAAGAGCATTTCATAGATGAGGAATAAAGGCAGTGGGTGGGTAGGCAGAAAATGCAGTAATGGGCAGGATTAGTGCTGAAATTTCCTCCCTTCTATCAGACCATAATGCAGCTGCCTTCCCTGAAGATAGTGGGATGTGTTTCACAAACAGCAAGACATTTATTGGTAATTTCCCTTCTCATTCTTAACTGTAATATAGTGATCAAGGGACTTTAGGATAATAGAGACTGTTAAAATAAAACCCCCAAAGATTTTCAGCAGCTCCCAACCCGAGGGGATCTGTATTTCTGAAAGAGGATAGTGAACATAATAAGATAGGAAAAATAAGTCCTAACTACCTATGGGACTCTCTTTCATTAGCTTTCTCTGATTTTATGGCCATTAGTGTCCTCCTAATGGGAATTTACTAATGAAAGTTCTCTCAGCACACAGGACTAACAAAATTTCAGAATACATTTCCAAGTTATCATGAAAACAGATATGAGATTTTGGCCATGAGAATGTTTTATTTTGAGAAGAAAACATGGACATTTAACTATACTGAAAGAGGGGAGAGGCAGCATTTATTATTATTCAAATTATTATTATTACTGCACAGCTTAGAGCTTGCCTCCCTCTTGATGGCCAATATAAATGCCAAGAGACAAAAATTATTGCTGCTAAAATGGTAGTTAAAGGCATATTCTTGGCCCCTTTTTTTATTTTAATCACATGAAACTCTGTAGACTTTGCTGATGGCACAATACATCCTATTACACTTAGGTTGTAAAATTCTATGCTTTGCCTCAGAGAATTTATATCTCTGTATATTATGCCACCCCTCTCTCAGCTCTGGTAGGCACTGGGGTAGTAATCTTTATAAGGACACAAGTGCAGTGCTTCTGGCATTCCCCTCAGACACAGAGAGCCTAAATCCCTGTTTTTTTCCCCACTGTACCCCAGGTAGGAAGGGAGACTTAAATCAAGGTACCCAAATTAATGAGTACAAAAAGTCACCTATCAAATCATAAAGCATCATACAGACAATTTCTTCACCTCCTGCGAGAGTTTCTCATTGTGCAAATTAATTTTTCGTTGGTTACCATTTTATTTCCAATTTGGCAGGAAATCACAATGCCACGTTTTATTCGCTGAGGTCTGGTTGATTTAAAGCTTGCTGAGGAGCTAGAAGCACATTTTCTGAGATGATCCCAGGGTTTCAAAGGCAGTGAGAAAAGGGATTTAAATTAATTGCCAGCTTCAGGAATCTTCTGTGCTCATCCAAATCTTGTTCAAGTGCAAATTTCCTTCTTGTTTCTTTGCCAAAAATGATGCAAGGTATTTAATGAGCCAGTACAGACTTTTAAGTTGGACCATGGTTTCAAGCAAAGAAACAGCCAAAAAAAAAAGGGAAGACATCTCCAAAGGAAAAGAACTGTATGGAGCAGTGGATTAAAGACAAAACTAAAAACCCCAGGGCATTATAACAGGCATTAGCAGCTCAAACACACAACCTGCTGAAAGGCACAGTGCTGAGATGACTCCTGCAAATGGCAGGAGAGGTGGGTCTATCAAACAGGACATGGCCAAGCCCTGCCAAGCTGCACTCCTGTTTGCAGGGCTGTTATATCTTGCAGGATTAGTTCAGCACATAGAACCAAAGCTACCTTTTGACTCACTGAAAATAGTCTTTGCTACTGCAGGTGTCATATTATAAAGTCTTCCACAGACTGGGAGTTTGTTCATCTATGGTATTCATGTCAGAAGCCTGTTTGCCAGACTGCTTCAATGCTTAGAAGCACATATATATGTTTGATTTCTAGCCTCAATTTATTAATTCCTAGTTTACATTTACTGTGCCAGCATGCTATTTCACACAAGTGGCTCCTTTCCCCCCCTACATTTACCTATGTATACATCCATGAAGAACATTTTTCCTTCCAGTTTTAATTTTGCTCACCGACTTTAATCCTCAAGACTTCCATACAACAGATTCTCCACTCCCCAGCTGCCCTGCCAGCCCTTCACAAGAGCATAACAACTGGCTACAGCAGGCTCCCTTCTGTTCTAACAGTTCTGCTTTAATGAGTGACTCAGACGTGAGAGACATTGCCTTCTGCAGTAAGTAAGTTCACATGCAGTAATGATTCTATAAAATATTTTAGCTACTTGAACAGTTCTCGTTGGGCAAAGGGAAAACTAGACACTGCAAAGCACCTCTTGGCTTTTTTTCCAACCAAACAAGACTCTTAAGGTTTGGACTTTTAGATTTTAAATAAAAAGGGTTATTGGCTAAGCACAAAGAAACAACTCTTCATCCCTTTTTTGCCCCTCATTCAGTAAATCTTGGGTTTAGCTGAAAACATAACAGGAAGATGAAGTCTCAAAGGCTCTTTTTTTTAATCCATACTAAAAATGCTAGTGGCTTAGATTTGTAATATATACATTAGCACAAAGTAAAGAGGACTGAGGAACATGGAGAGGAAGAATAAAAAAACAGAGAAGGTATGTGGGAGGCAGCTGTAAGGGAAGAAAGGGATAACCCATCATTAAAGTGGGGGTGGAGGAAAGGGACAGTAGCACTAAGAGGGAACACAACAAGAACAGCATGAAAAAGTCTCTGTCTCTCCCAGCTTTGCTATAATGAGTTGTCATCACCATATGGAGATAAAGCTATGATCTTCCCTCTCCTTGACCACCACTACTGGGTAATCTTCCTTTTCAGTCTGGCCATTAACTCTAAGCTGTGAAAACCATCTAAATAGACTCATGGCTACTTGAGATGGGTCCCAAGACACAACAAACAGAAAATGCAATAAACCAATTTATAAGAAAGCCAGAATCTATATCATTGCTGACTTGATGGATGTGCCTAATTTGCATGCCATTTCTTAGATTCTTCTACTTATTTGTCTAAGCCACAGCCATTAAATTCCACTCTGCCAACACACCAGTCATTGAACAGCTGGGAACAGCTGCCCCCTTAGACTGGATTTTGCTAAGCTGCCCTTGGTGTCTGGAAAAAAAGTACCCATTTCTATACCTCCAACCACCTATTCCTTTGCAGTCCCCAGCACTCCATTCCACTCATCAGCTTCTTTAAGCAGCATTGCTCTCTTCAAAATTAGCTTGACCTAATCCTGAATTTCTCAGCTGCTTTAGATGCATCTGCAACTAGCAGGATTTTATTCTGGTTTTTTAGGTTGATTTTAATTTGGGTTTTCTGTTTGCTTGATTGTTTGTTTTGGGGTGGGCTTTTTTTTGAAATTGTTTGCTGTTTTACTTTCTGATTTTTTCTGGCTAAGTTTTTTGGGGCCAAGCTGTGTTTTTGGCTAACAGTATTTCTAGTTTTTGCTCCCCCTCTGACAATGGCTTGGAATTGTGTTTGGTCGTATTGCCCCCTTAGATACAGCTACTGAATTCACTTTTGATCTGAAGAAACATGCTGCCTATCCTTTTCTTTGGGGTTTTTATAGATTTAGAGGAAAAACCCATCCTTCACTGCAGCAAACATCCGAATGGAAGTGAGCTAGGGAAAAGATACAGTGAGTGAGTTGAAATGTGTTTGCACTCCCAGTGCATCACTCTAACAGATAAGAGTGCTATCTGACTTCCACCTTTTGAAGGAGCTCAGCTGTTTCCCTGATAAAGCAGGATAACTGTACAGAAATGGACAGGGCTGCAATATTTTCAAATGACTGGAGAAACTGCATCGTTGTGCTGACTGAATAACCAAAAGGAACAAGTGCTTCCCAAAGTTCACACTCATTCCCATTCATTCTCAGCCTTCTTACTTATAAGAATACAAGTGATAAATAGGAAAGAGTAAACCCATATTTATGAACTCACAGCATTCATATATTAACAAGTGAAAGAGCAGCTACAGAGTTTGCACATTTACATTGTGAAGCCTCCATCTAGACTGTTCCTACTGAAATGAGGCTGCCCAGTTAGCAGAATTCATTTTTCCTCTTCTGCCTCTGCTCTCTCACCATGAAATCACATCTGTTCCACTCATATCCCTAGGAAAGAGTTCATCTCTCTCTCAGCTCACTCACTCATCTGGATGTTATTTACCTCTTCCACCATCAGTTCCCTGGTT